CAAAAGAAAACTTATTTGGGCTCAGGTTTCTCTAGAAATTGTGTTCTGGTTCAGGAGTGCTGTTCACAAACACTTCAGCAAATTTTGAATGATTAATGGCTTTCCTTGTCTTCCAATATAGAGCAGATCGTATCCTTGCACTTGTGGTCAAGTCTTCCTTTGAGTTTTGGGATTCATTGAAGCCAGAAAGGTATCTAATACAGTAGGGGGGGCGCAGGAGATTTTCCACTGATGTTTTGTGCAAGAACTTTCTCCCTCAGTTCCCCTCCCTATGGGTTAATAGTCAAAGCAGAAGCAAAGGTGTCAATGGTCTAATCCTCGTCTTACAGTAACTTCATGCTTTGATCTTGTTAGCAAAAGTCTTGGCCTAACAACAAATGTCCTGCTGGCACATCAGTCCCTGGACAGGACACTGACAGCTTGCATCTAGTGCTTCAGTAGCAACCAGCTGAGGCAGCATCTGCCAGTGATCATGGTGCTCTAAAAGGCACCAGTACAACTTATTCCTCTCCTAAACCCTCCTAGCCCCCATATCTAGACTAGGGAAAATCCCAATATCTCTCACTGTATGATAACCACTACTAAATAGTGACTATTCTATGTAGACTTCTACCTTTCTTCTATATCATGTAGGTAGTATATCCTTCTTCTCATGACAGTGAAACTCAGGGGTGAGTCTTCAGCCTGCATTTCAGCTGATTTCCAAGGTTAAGCATATAGATCTTCATTTGATTTCACACATATTAACACCTTCAAGTATGTTTTGCCAAGCTTAAGAACAGCACTTTCACATTTTGTTCAGAATTTGTGCCTGGCACTTTCTACAAACACAAGATTATATTTGTCCACATGCTCTATATAGGATTAAGGTGGAGCCAACAGACCTAACTCTCTCTAGTCTGGCAGACTAGACCTCCCTATTATCAAGCAGCACAGCCCAAAGCAAGAAGAGACTGCTATACCATTGACTTAAAAGGCATTGCTCCTGAATGGAGAGAAATCTGGAATTGCTACTGTGTAAAGACTAATTCTATTTATTGCATTGCAGTGGTAATCACACAGAAATTAATAATTCAGCATACTTGGCGTTGTACAGTCTCACACTTACATTAAGAGTTAAACTACATGATACTCTTCCCCTCCTTCTACCTCTCAGTAATGATCCAACATAGTACTGTGAAGGGAAAATATCAGACTTTTCTGTGAAATTCTGAAATACAAAATCATTCTCATGAGATCAAATGAAGTGAAAGTTGAAGATTATGCAGGATAAATTCAATGAGCCATAGCAATATTACCTGTCCAGTAATTTTATTGCCTTTCCTTATCTTATTCTCTTCTGTTTCAGCATGCCCTATTTGCCCACTTGTTAAAAAAAAAAAAAAAAAAAAAAAAGGCAAAAAAAGGCTATGTCTTCCTTGCAGAGCTAAGCAGGGCAAAAGACTGTCTGGGCATGATCAGCTTGGATGTTGAAGAGCCAAAATAATAAAACTAGCAGATGCTTAGACAGCAATATCTGTATGGATGTATTGCAAAGGGGCGTTGCTGTCCTGCCCCCTGGTGCTGCACTGACTTTCAGGGCACCAAGACCACATGGAACCAGATGCGCAATCCCACCATCACCAGCAATGGGTGTCAGCAGCTGGGGAAATGTTCCTGACACCTGGAACAGGCCTCACAGGCAAGCTTGTCAGGAGACACAGTGCCACGTGCAGCACAGTGCCATGGCTCTGCTCCAGCCCGGGCTGCCCTGGGGAGCCCACACCGCAGACGGAAGTGGGAGACAGGGGCGGGGAGCCACAGCCTTGTCCTGACAGCCTTTGGCTAGACAGGTCTGGTTACAGCAGCTGAAGATCTGATCTGCAACACACAAATCCAATATGAACAATACAAAATGGAAAACATCCTGTACTAGGGGAACATCTGTTTAGGCGGTGAAAACCCATCATTCTGGGTGAATCAGCACAGCTGAGACTGCTGTTTGGCTGCCTGAGTGGTTGATTTAATTTTTTCCAAGCTTAGCTTTGTACCGTCAGTGAGATTTATTATCTGTGGCACTGCTCAATCCCAGGAGGTGCGGTTATCAGGAGGCACTTGGATCCCCAGCTCTGTTACTGGGCTTTGCACTGCATAAATTACAAGATGTCCACTGCATAGGACATGAGCAGACCGTCTGTTTTGCCTTGTGTTCTGAATTCCTTACTGCATCTCCATGTTGGTACTGATAGCACTGAACAAGATCAAGATTCTTCACTGGCGTAAATTGACAGTGATCTGTCAAAATCTGTGATGCAATGTGGATTTGCCCTCACTAAGCATCTGACCCATCTTTAGAACCCTCTGGGTGAAAACTGTTGGATTTCAGGAAGCTGGTGGTCTGATATTCTCTGCAATTAGGCTGTTAACAACTAACAAACACTGTTAGTTTGGATTTGTCTTGGCCCTTCTGCAGTCACTGTAAAAGAAAAGAACAAATCTTGTTCTTTCGATGCCTCCTCCGATGAAACAGAACTGTGGCTATTTGACATGAGTATTAACAGCTTTATCAAGCTTATGAAAATGAGTCCAGGAGAAACAAAAGACCCAATCTCTGCAGCCTTGAGGTGAGCTCTAGAGGACTCTATTGCATCTGCTGCTGTCCTGAGGCTATGCCATCCCAGGGCTGCTCAGGCATTGTATATAATCGTGATTATATTTTTTTTTCTGTGTCTAGGCAAGGCAGTGGTTCCCAAATTAGTTTCTAATTAGTTCCCAAATTAGTTTCTAATTCCCAATTAGTTTCCCTTCTGATACAAGGCAAACAATTGTGCCAGGTCCATGTACAGGTCACTTGGCTGATATTGCTCTTTGTTATGCATATCAAAAATTTATCAGCAAATTAAAGCAGAAATGGGCTCATAGAAAATAATTCAGAGAGGAAAAATACCTGGTTTTCGATACAACTCAGAGCACCTGAACACTTCAGTGTATCATCTATGACTGAAAATGGCCATTTTCAGTTTATTTCTGAGCAAAAATATATTTAAAATACTTCCATATACAGTAGACACTTCAGAGGTACTGAAATATGACAGAAATTCCAATTCTTTGTCAAAGCTGAAAGTTATGAAGCAAAATTTTGACAAAATTTTGCTTCATAAATTCATTTTACCTGGGTAAACTGAAAAAAGAAACCTGTGCCATTGCTTTCTTACTCATACCTCAGCAGCAGCCATTTGATGACCGTGGATACAGAACTCTGATATAAGCCAGGATTCAAAAAAGGCATGAATCTAGTCTAGCACATAAATCCTAACACCTTGAAAGACAGACATGAATAAACATTTTTCTCCTTATGGCCTGTCCTGTAGTTATAACCCCAGCTCTTTTTAGAGACCAGACTGCTATAAAAGATGGTCCTCCTCTTCTTCAGAAAATACAACTTTCTAATTCTTTAACTAATTAATTCCAACTAGTACCAATTTATTGGTGCCCTGAAACATAGAAAACATGGAAATGTGCTGCTCTTGAAGAGACTGGTCTTCAATTGAATGACACTGAATTCTCCAGAAAACGAAACAGTGCATTTTTTTAACAGTCAGGGGGTGACAAAGAAATCAGCTGACTCTAATCTTGACATCCTTTTTCAAGCAGAACTCGCTTCTTGGTAATTTTATCTGACTTAGTGTTAAACAAATGCTAAGTTTAAATTGAATGAAAAGATCAGGTTGTCAGCTCATAACAATGAGTTGTTAAGTCTTGGCATACAATAAAATCCAGATTAATGGAAAATTTTAAAAAGCCCACAGGACAATCATCTATCAAACTGATGCACTGCACTGCAGAGTATAGTTTACGTTATCTGTGCTGCTTAACAGGGTTTGAGTAATGTGACTACTCAGCCTGAGGGGCACATCTGCAGACCCTCACATCACCTCCCTCCTAGCGCTTTGCTCTGCTATTCCTGATAGCAATATGTAGAAGATGAATACTTGCTTGCATCACTACCTTAAGCTCAGCACCTGAAGTCCAGATTTGGGACAAAGTTTACCACAGTATTTATTTTCATCTTCTGTAAGGATCTTATCTTCCCCAAGTTTTGCATTGCTGGTCACCACGGCAAAGCAGGACATAACAAGTAACTCTGACAACAGTATGAATGTGTTACTGATATGCCACTCAATTGTTATCTTATTATGCCTTATTTCCAAAATAAAAACTGACTGGTTACAAATCACAAAATCAGTAGAAGACACCTGAATCATGGTGGGGAGAAATTAATTACTCTCAGAATGCAACTTCTAAATGTAACTTTATTAAATCTAGTATTTAAATACTTTTCCCCTTGGTAAAGACCTTTTATCCATTAATGCTGGAAAATAGCCTTTCATGGGATTAATTCCAAATCAAATTTAGGAGAGAAGCAGGGATAGTGTGTCCACAGACACATATGTGCAATTAAACGAGTACATGCTCACATAACAAAAAGCCAACTCAATTACCTCCCAAGTATAAAGCTTACAAAGAAGATGTGAACTTTATTCCAGAAAGTTTACCCAGCAAACATAAGAGAAAGAATGTGGAAGAAATTTATGTGAAAGCAAATACTTCATACCTTATAAAATCCCCACTGGCTGGTTGCAAAAAACTCTTGGAAATGCCAATTAGTCAGGTGTCTCTTTGTCCTTTTTAATTTTCCTGCCCTTATTAAATCAATATCTCCGGCAACTTAATGGCTCCCCAAAGTCTAGGTCAAACAGAGAGGCAAGAAGAGGTGGAATAAAAGGCTGTGCTTAATTTTGTGCCATGATCTAACTGTGGCTGGAGAGAGAAGGAATAATTTAGCCTGATTAAATAACTAAATATACAGTGCCTTGAAAGGAAAATTGGCCCTCACTCAGAGGACTATGGAGATAATCCCTGAACAAAAACCATTACCACTGCTGGTTGCAAAGTTGAGACAAATTCTTTTCAGAGGCCTTTCATTTTTTTCTGTCCTCCTTTTATCTCCTCTCTGACAGCACCCTGTGAAGGAGAACATCAGGACCGTGTTTTAGCCCAGCTGCACCCAAAGAACCTCCCACCTTCATGGGCCAAACAAGATTCTGCTGCCCCTGAGTTTGGCTCGGCCCTTTACAGCAGGTGAGTGAATTCTAGTTGTGGCACATGGAGGAGAGCAGTCACTACTTTTGTCAGCTGACTTCTGTCAGCTTCAGGGACACTTGGGAATTTGGAATATCATAGCGTGGAATACCATACATGAGAGGGAAAATTGCTTTGGTAGAGCAAAACCACTATGACTGAGGAGAATAAAAATGAGGAAGACCAATCCCATCCATAGCAAAGTTTGCAAGGACAGAGCCTGAGCTGCAAAAGCTGATACAATTCCACCAGTCTTGAGAGAGGTACCCACCATTTGCATAAGCTGGAGACCTGGCTAAGGAGGTGTATTCCAAGCGACTACTTTTTGAAATGATGGCATTGAGTCAAGGTAAGAAGAGAACTATCTGTTGAATGTTCTGTTTTAATGCCTATTGATTTGATAGGACTTTAGAGCAACAAGTCGCTTAAATTAAACACTTCAGCTTGATACCTAAAGAAGGGATGAGATACTTACAACCTAATCCTACTAAGTCGTCTCTTCCCATCCCCTCAAGACTGCTTACATTCTTGCTAAGAAAACAGGTCTTCCCCAGCTCAAAGATTGGACTTGAAGGAAAGACTGTTTCGTAAAAATGAAGTGTAAATATGCAAAATTAACCCCATGCATTTCTGGGAACCCAGATTAGATTTAAATGCTTCTCAGTAACATCTCTATGATATGAAAATGTTAGAGGTTCTAGAGAGAACAAGAAGTGGGAGTATGCTAAATAATGAACTTTTTCCTAACACTTGATATTGACTGAAAGCATAGAGGGAAAGCAGAGGCTTTCACTGCTGTAAAACGGCAGAGAACAACACAGAGAGAGAGGGGCAAAAAATACATAAAATGTTACCCTTGATTTTGGAGATTAGTCAATAGCTGAGCCAGAGCACAGATCAGGGTAGGGCAGGAGGAGAATTAGGACTGCACATGTCTTTGTCTAGATAACAGGAGGGATGACACCACTAGAGACAAGTGAGAATGTTATTTTCATAATGCTCCTCTACTGCAAACAAGTAGAGTCATCTTCACATTGGAAATGAATAAAATAAGATGCAAAGTGATCCTAGCAGGGTTTTCAAAGGTTAATTAAATTATTTAGAGTGCAATCCACAAAAAGCAGCATCAGGTTTTCAAAGAAGCCCAGGTGTAGAGCTTTTGCTGTGTTGGTGTCTTCACCTACTGGTAATAGAAATTGTAAGAAGTATTAAGAAAGAATACTTTAATTTCAAATTGATCAGAAACAGTTCTTCCTTCTGCCTAGCTGCTTCACTTTTGCAATGAAAATGGATGTTGAGAAGAGGAATTATTTTATTAGGTTGTCTACAATGGTTTGTTCAGCAGTGGATTGGACACCTAACTTCTTAAATTATTTAAGTGAAAAATTAGCTCTGGAAATCAAACTGAAAAACCCAAATACTTCACTTAGAAAATGGTAACAATGCAGTTGTTTGAATGACTAGAAATTGCTTTCATGGATTTATACAGTTACCAAAGCAGAGTACTCTGTAATGCAAATCCCAGTTTCTCATTAAGAACATTAAAAAATGGAGAGTTTCTTCCATGTTTGAGTGAGCAATCACGTTTTGTTCAAAAGGAGTACCAAAATAATTGTTGCTGCCGTTTTAATCTCTGTGCCTTAAGTCTGACTTGCTTATTATCTGAAAAGCAGTGTAGCAAATGAATTTGATCACCAGTTTTCAATGTGCATGGATGAATGTGGCTGGTTCATGTTTAATATAATTCTCTGACCTGTAGCACTAGATTTGGTCTGTACACCGCTTGGTACTTCACATGCTGATGACATAGATCAAAGCAAGGTAACACAGATTTTAATGAGAAACCATTAAAAGTGTGTTTTTTCCACATTTAGCCAAATCAATTAACATTTAAGATCTCATAAGAGAAACTTTTTTCCTAATATTTTTGCCTATCAAAACTTAATGTATGTGGCATGATGAAAATGATAGTTATTTCAGTGCGTAGGGAGTTTTGTCTGCCAAAATAAAAACCCACACCTGCATAATCCTAAGAATGGGAGGCTCCACACCTTAGGGGGATTCATGTCCATGGCAGAGTTTCCTGGATCAGGACCATTGTTTAATTTATACCCATGGACTGAAAATTCCTGGATTCTTCAGCTTTGCCTTCTATGAGTTGCAGGAGTGGATGAGTCATTTAGCCTCATACCTAACATGTCATTTCCCATCATCTATTGAGTATGCAACCACAAGAAGACGAAGCGAAACCCCAGCTATTTCTTATCTCACAACTGTGTTTATTTTGAGCTAATCAGTCATACTGACATCTGTTTGGCCCTAATCCTGATTTTGTTAATAAGCCATTTGTGTAAATCTGTTCTGTGCAAGACCATGCCTTAGTGCATCCTGAAGACTGATGAATGCATTCTGGAAGCCAGTAATACTTTAGGATAAGTCCACATAGAAACTCCACTAATTTTCTAATAAATATTGTCTGTGAATGAGCTCATGAACCTCCAGAAGACCAACTTTATCTCTGGGGTCTAAGTCATACAATGGGCAAGTTTCCAAAAAAGGAAAAAAGCAAACTCCTTACACTCCACAATCTTCCCCCAATCTCTGCTGTTGCTTAAAGAAAATGGTTCACTCTTTTATATGTACTCTTGAAAATACTGCATTTATTTAATTATTCTGTTTCTTGTCTCATGGTAATTCTCCTAGACCCTTTCTACAACAATGGTTCTTATATCTGAAGGCCAGAGCCAGCCAGACCAATCACCTGGTCTGGCCTCTTGCATAACATGCACGACAGCATTTCACTCTCTGATCTCTGAATCAAGCATTGTACCTTGCAGGAATTCCAGGGGATCTTGTTTTGACTCCAAGCTCTGGAGAATTTACCACATCCTTGGTTATCCATTCCAGACATATGTTGTCTTCATGGTTATGGCATTTGCAATTTGAATTTTTCTGATTTTCCACCTTTTAAGTCTTCTGTCCCACTGTGGTCAAGGCACAGTGAGGTCTCTTTAGTATCCTTCATGCCATGCAAAGCTTCAGGCTGAGACCCAGAAGGCCTCTCCATCTCGTGCTCAGATAAACACACTACCTGGAGCTGCTCACATCCTCAGCAGTCAAAGTGGATTTAACAACAAATTCTCTCCAATAACTCTTCTCTGAAATCTCTTCAGGTTCTCAGCCTTTGGTCTGAAGGCATTAACCAGTGCAGCAGGCAGAAGAACTGGGCAGTTCTTCTTGGACATTGCCCAGCCTTGTCTCACTGCACAGGCCCCACTGCCACATCAGGCCACTTTGATCACTCACCTGCCTAGTTGTACCTTGTCACTACTTCCCAGAAAACACGGTTTCCTCATCCAGTCTGCAGTGTTTATTTCTCGTCTGCCTAATCTCTCATTCCTCCTCTTTCTTAAAAAACACATTTTTTCACCACTGGGTTTCCTGGATAGCACTGGTTATGCCACTCTGGCTATGTATTTCCAAGGAAATGACACTTCACCTGGAAGCTTAGCATATTCTCTGTTGCAAAAGAAAGCCTATAGTAATGAATTCTTATTTCTGTCTACTTCCTTATGTCCTTATTTCTGTTAATATATCTGTTAATTCCTTATCTCCCTTGAGTCACTCTAGTGGGAAAATGGAGTCCCAAAACAGACTTCTCAAAAAGTCTGCATTTATTGGCTCCACAGGCTCCTGTTGTCTTTTGGATGTGAGATTCACAGGCATGTTTCACAGTGGAGGCTCAGGGGATGGCTGTGCCAAAGCTATAGAACTTCAACAATGACTGTATTCACATCCAGACATTTAATTTTCTTTCATGCTACAGTGTCATATAACCTGTATTCATAGCAGGCTCCTGTGAATGCACAAATAAGCATATTGGTGAAAACTGGGAGCATTAAAGTATGATGTTCTGCCATCATGCATGCCTGTGGACCCTGTGTAATCCCACAAAATGTCACAGGGATTCAGGCAGACCTGCACCCTCTCCTCCAGATGAGGAGCACTGGCAGAGTCTTTTGCTCCACAGCAGATGTCTGCTTTCCAGATAATCCCAGGACTTTAGCAATGCTGAGGTCTTTATCCTTCAGCTACTTTGACTGAAATAAGACAACCACTTCAAAAGTTTCTGAGGGGAGGAGGAATGACACACAGGCAGGCAGACACTCATACAGATGGACAGTCACGGGCTAAAAAGGGAAGGAGATAAATAATTTGTACTGTGGGAGTTTGTCCTTAGTCACCTTACCAATCTTTTCTCCTCTCCTTTACAATCTCTGCTGTGAAATTTCTGGCTGCTCACCCTTGCTGCACACTGAGACAAATGCTGCCTGCGTTTTTATCCTTCTGGTAGCCACTTTTCTAGAAAGATTTCTTTTCCTTGTAAATTCATATAACACAAAACACCAAGAAAGGTACAAAAAATGACTGCTTAGTGTACCCAGGCTCCATCTGATGCTCTCAACAAGTCCCAGGAAAGTACTTAATTTTGGCCACTTAGAAGAGACCACTGAAATCTTTGAAGTCTTCTGAAGCAGCTCACAGCCTGTGAGTCTGCAAACCCAGAAAGCATACCAAGAGCTTTATTTGGGACCATGCTACATTAAGCACAGCATAACGAGTGGCTGCATCTGAAAGTCAGTGCAGAAATCCCCAGGGTGCCACTGAGGGGACTCCACACAGTGGGAAGGGGACAGCTATGTCAGTTTGGGAAGAACTTCACCTTGACTTGCCTGCTCCCAGATGGCTGGCTGGACAACGCATTTTCCAGAGTGTGGATCTGGCCAAACTTCTTGCAGTCACACCAGTCTGGCCTGGGATCACCCCATCTCGCTTTCTCCCTGTGGCAGAAGTGCTCTGGCAACACCAGGGTAGCCAGACCCTGTAGCAGGAGGCAGAGAAACAACCCCTGTCAGGTGCCAGGTTTGCTTTATAGGGACTGTTAGTACAGTTAAAACACACCAGCAAAAACCAGGCTGCACGCCCAGAGTATCACACAA